TTATCCCCCTTTAACCCTCGACGTTCCTCTTAAACCCACCCTCGTCATAAACTGTAGTGAAGCCTCGAACCTGTGTGAAACGGCACCTCGCCTTCTCTCATCCATCGTCCTCTCTACCATTTTCTCTCTCTTCCTCTCTGTCTCTCTTTCTATCCTACTGCCTCTCAAAGTACAGATTACCCTTGGAAAAGCTTTATTATTATCATCCACCCGTGGCACCGCAAGTCCTTAATTAAATTCGAGAAAAGATTCATGGGTCCGGCACGATTCAAAGTACGATAATTCGAGGCAATCATCAAATTGCACATGTTTCTTTAAGGATATTATGGAAATAAAATTGTTTGCTAACGAAAATTGTATTTCAAAAAAAAAAATTGACTGAGCGATCGAGTATTGATTAAGAAAATACGTCGTTAAATTTTTCAAAAAATTCTATTTAAATAATTAGAGACTTGGCTCAAATAATAAAAAAATCAAAAAGAAAATGCCATAAGAGCCAATGCGCGGTAGTTGGAGCGCCGAGAAACGACAACAATTCTTTCTTTTTCCAATATTAGTTTATTAAAAACATATTATAATAACAAAAAGCGAATGTTTTCGGATCATCTTTTGATCCTTCTTCAGCGCGATGTTAACAATATATATTACAATATATATTACAAATTCTAATTAATCTCAATAAAGTATTTTTAAATCAAGATATATACACACGTAATAATGCGATAATGGACAAAGATGGCGATAACAATGCTACTTCGACACGCATCCGACATGTCGATAGCTCGATAACTTAGATTGCAATACCGGCGGAAGTTCCAATAGCGATATTATCGCGTTCGCGCACGGTACATTAAGGGAGACGTGAAATTCGGCATCTGCTACCAACACTTCGCCGCTATTAAGAGACATCGAGAAGGAGAAAGGGGAAGAAAGAGAGAGAGAGAGAGAGAAATAGAGAACACAGAGAGGACAGAGAGGTAGAGAGAAAGAACTATCATTGGACAATAATCGCTTTTATAGGTGTTTGTGTGGCGAACCGTGATATTAGATAGCCGGCCAACGAGTGCGCAGAATCGCAATCCTCAAATCGCACCAACTCTCCGGGGGTCCCGGAACACCCTCTAATAAAGTTGAGAAAAGTTTCTCTCTCGCGCGATAAAAAGTAATGTTAGAGATATTGCGGGTGCGTTCAGTCGGAGTTCAATTGCTTTTAACGACGGGATCAAGTTCGATATGTACTTATGAAGCTGAATCGCATCGCAGCGCCCAAGTATCATTTCATTGAAGTCGAGCAATCAAAATTGCCGTTTCGTTTCGATACATTCTGCCGAAGCATCTGTCGGACGAACGTATCTCTTTTTGTCTTACTTTCTACTTCATATTTCAAAATCAAGCCTCTCGGAGAAATAAATTTAATTATATTTAATTATATAATTATATTTTATAATTTAATTATATTGAAAACAAATTTGCAAAGAAAGAAGGAGAAGAACTAGAAGAGAAAATATTACTGACCAGAATCAAAGCTGTCAAAAAAATATCTCGATCCTTTGCGACGCAGGACGCTTGAAATTTCAGCGATCAAGGTGTTTACTTTTTCTAATAATAAATTCAAAAATTCGGAGCTACATTCGCCATATGTATTTACGAGACGCCGAGTTTCCCTCGGCGCGGGCTTTATTCGCCGCAATTCTTATCACGTTGTTCGCGATCGTTCAACGACGACGGTGGTCGCGACGGAAGAAGGGCGCAAAATCACCTTTTGTATGCGGATTGCGAAATCGCAAGAAACGTCAATTCACTCTCCTCTCGACGAGGACGGTCTCCGTGTGCACGTACGCGCGCCTGATCCTTAGATTTTCTCGTAAAACCAGCGACCAGAGTGAGCCTCGACCAATGGCGGTGAAGGCATGGCGCTCGAGGTGTGAATTATACATGAGGATATATCCCTACATACCGGTCCTCCACACCGCCTTTCTCCCTTTCCCGCGCGTCGCGCGCACGTTGTCTTTCTTGCTCCCCCGTATTATTCACCGCGACCACCATTCATTCAACCAGACACCGCTTCTTGTTTGCCCTCGCATTCGCCGGTAACATCTCGATTGCACAGAGCAATAATTATTTCTAATTTTTAACGATTAAACGCGAATCACGAACTTGTTCGCGAGATTCGGATTTTATTAACTTTCTTCAATCAAAGTTAACGTCCTTCAAATTTATATACAATAAGAATCTTTAATTTTTTATATTTATTACATCTTTTATAAGATAGTTTTCTCGTTCTTTCCTCTTCTTTCATCCCAACCATCATTTCTCCAATCAAATATTGTCTTATTTACTCAATTAAAAGATTCAATATAGTAAGAAGTGTGTAATTTGTAAAGTCCATTTTAGACAAAGCTTAAAATAGATCTTACAAATTATTTAATCTTGTGAGTATTAAATTTTAATAATGTTTAATATCAATCTAAAGATTAATCAACGATCTCTTTATTTTTCCATCACCTTGCAACACGTGTTACAAAAAGGCATAATTATCTCGAAAAGAATTACGTTCACGCATTCTTAAGTACCGATTTGCATTTTACACATGCTCATATTGCGAGCAGTATCGACTTATCACATTGATATACACGGGAGACAGAGCAAACGAGACTTTGTCTGTGTACGGGTATGTGTGAGAGAGAAAGAGCGAGAGATTTAGGTACATAATACCCAGGCTCGGATTTAATCGGGCGATGCCAGTTCATTAATTGCACACACGTAGGTATATACGTTGCTGTACGCGTGCACATGAGAGCCGGGCATCCCGATGCTGTTGCCGGCTCGGTAATGAAACTAAACGATATCTGCGGAAATGGTACTGCGAGTTAGTTTCATTTGATTTCATGAGCGTAGTCCAGCCGTTTTCGAATGTCCGCGATGTACGATAATCGTCAACCGAACCTTTTATTCTATTTTCGAGATGTTCGCTAATCGGAATCCATATTTGAATAAACTAATGAGCGAACGAAGCGTTCATTAATGTTCCGGAACAAACTCCCGGAGGTACATGAAGTTTTTGGAAAGCAGAAAGGTGCCGACATTCTTTTGTAAATAAAGTTAATACATAAAGCTAATAGAATATTTTAAGATTTATTTTAGAGACTTGTTTCTCTATCTATTATAATTATAATCATCATTTTCTAGCAGCAACAGGTATGCAATGCTACGCATTTAATGTTTCGGCATAATATTCTCTACAACATGAATAACTCCGATCGCACGTTTAACGTTTGGAAATCTTGTAAGTAAATGAAATATTTTAAATCCAACAATTCAAGGAGCGTTATATTTGACTGAAATAATTACACATGAAGCTAATTACATTCAAAGCGCGTGTATTGTCGTTATACTGCAATTTAATCAGCTATGATTGCTCGATCGTTCTTGAAATCAATATATGCACTTCATCGCGCAATTATATGAACTGGGCACATTAAACACACATGTACCTTCGTTCGCTCGTACTCGCGCGGCAGACGGTTTCGTATTCGACAAAACCGAGCATTAGTCTCTATCAATCTGTCAAATGGAGCCGCGAGAGATAGAGATGGAGTCTCCATAGTGAAACTAAATTCGCTCGTCGCCGAGCACGAGGGATTCGTACTTCGTTAAAGTGACAATTAGTGCCCTAATAAGGTCATTAAGCACAATATATATTCTCCCGTGTACCTTCTCGGTCTTGCACGCGCCCTAACTGCTCGATTACGGTGGCCCGTTATCGAGAAAACCAGAGAAAAGCGATTATCTCCCGCGCGGAAGTCATTTTGAAAATCACTTATTTACTGCCTCTAATAGACTCTTTCTTGTCGACCCAATTTCTCGGAATTTATATAATGGAATTTAGAACTCGTTATCAAGATTTTAATAAGAAAAAGATTCATGAAAATTATGATGTAATTATGACAGATGCAACTTTTGATTTAAATTACCAAGAGAATAAATTATTTCGGATCTGGAATACTCTTTGACCAAAATTTTTACAAATAATTCAAAATTTATATAATCAAATTTAGAATAAAAATTCAAACACGCAAAAAAAGATTTATAAAAATATGGCAATTTTTATCGATAACAAAATCATTTGTCTTTTTTTTCGTTAGAGATAAGAGTTAGGAAAAATTTCGCAAAAATCTCATGAAAATTACGTGACGTAATTATGACAGATGCAACTTTTAATTAAGATTATCAAGAGAATAAATTATTTCGATTTAGAATACTCTTTGACCGAAATTTTTACAAATAATTCAAAATTTATATAATCAAATTTAACATAAAAATTCAAACACGCAAAAAAAGATTTATAAAAATATGACAATTTTTGTCGATAGCAAAATCGTTTGTCTTTTTTTTCGTTAGAGATAAGAGTTAGGAAAAATTTCGTTATAATCACGGCTTAAATTAGCATCGCATATTAACTTGAACTACTATTGCGCCTAGGAGATCATTAAGCACGAGATTAAACACCATGCGCCGTCTCTAATGCTCACGGCACAGCCTCTCGATTGTAATACAACGCGAGCACATCCGCCTATCATCGCGTATGCAAATCTGCCTGCATATGACATGCCTGATGCGATTATCGAGAGCGAGGATTCTGGATCACAAGGAATCGAATTATGCGCTTCGATGCGCGCTATAATTGATATGCAATTGATTTCCCCGCTCGGAAAACTGCGTTAACGAAAGAGAAGAAGCTAAGCTATATCTCGCTGCTTACAAGTCGAAATTGCGACAATAATAATGACATGTACATAATTATTAATAATCTATAAAATCTTAAATTATTGCTGTTCATATCGAGAAAATCACGTAGTGGAATAATATATTCCAATTATTAGCCGAATACTTAAACACACGAATTATTTTTTGAATATTCGACAAATATTCCATCTTCCCCTCTAGGTGTAAAAAAATGTCTTCATTTTTCGTTCAACGCAATAAATCAATTCACTTACTTGCGAGTCTTTGAGGCCCAGTTTCTCGGCAAGCTTCTTGCGATCCGGCTTGCTGATGTACTTTTGTATCTGGAACCTTTTCTCGAGTCCGCGACGCTGAAGATCCGAGAAAACGGCCCTCCTCATCATTCCTCGGCGTGGTTTCCCGCGCGCGTTCGTCGCCCATGGAAAAACCAAACCAGTGCCGGAAAAATCACCGATACTACCCTGGATAGCGCCTGGAAACACGGCACCACCGCCGGGTGTGCCGGGATGATGACTTCCGGTTCCAGAACCGGCAACTGTCAACAGAAAGTACACAATAATGCGTTAATAATATACATGTGTAAAAAATTTATCTATGCAATATATATCGAAAAAAGTTTTCATAACAAATAATTTCTATAATTTCTATATATAAATTTCAATAAAAAGGAATGAAAATATATCTAGAATAAAATCATCGTGAGGAGTAAGAAAGTAAATAAGAGGGAAACGCGAGCGGAAAAAGAAATCGCACAAACGCCATTGTTTATTCACGCGCGAATCGCTTGATAGCGGTAGTATCAAAGTCATCTAATAACGGACGGGCAATTGAATCTCCAGATCGTGTCTGCGCGATATTGCCAAGCTGAGCATGACGGTATTATCTGCACCGATGATATTTGCACGCACTTGTTGCATGCGTGCATTTTGCCTTGTGGCGGAGCATGTACATAATATGGTAGTGCTTTCACTGCACTTCATATGCACTCCATGTCCCATACGAGCCTACCTATAACAAGATATTCGATAAACCCGGCGTATGCGCGCGGCCCGCGCACGTGGCCGCGCGAACGCGGCGTTTATACGCGCGCGTTTGCTCTATGGCGCCAGATGCCCAAGTTTCGGTTTTAAACGTTCGTCGGGGAATGTTCGTACGCGATGTCTCCATCGCGCTTGTTTATTGACAGGACGCAAAGTACGAAACAATTACGAATACGCAAATTTCAAAGTGTCATCTGTCAAATATTTTATGCATCTGTCAAGTTGGAAAATATCCGATTAAAAAAATATTAGGACAGATTGAGAGATGGTACTCTGCATCCCCTAAATACACGAGGCAATAAATTTGAAGCTTAACTTGGTTCCTTTTAACAGAAGCAATTTAATATTTTTATCTGTTATTATTATAATTAATATTGAATTATAAACTAAAATAGTGTATTCATTTGTTGATGCAGTTTCGCATGTATTTTACCTGTCAGATATGGGCCTCTGTAGAACAGTTGTTGCAACGTGTGATGAGCGTTCGGTGGTAAGTGTCGTTGAGGGGGTTGATGACTCGGCCTGTGATAAGGATGGTAAGCCGCTGGCCTCGCGATCGGTTTGGCGATATTATAACCTGCCGAATTTTGTAAATTTTGCAAAAAGGCGGGGATCGCTTCCGGCGGAAGTCCTTGAAAGTTATCTGTAAAGAGAAACAAAATTTTTCATATTATAAGATTCAACTAGAGAATTTTTTTATTTTATTCTCCACGTTGACGTGTAATCGCAATTTGTATAAATATTTTTTAAATTTGTATCCGATTTATGTGTACATATTTGTATCTAAAAATAAGATTGTATTTCCGGTATCAGAGAGAGGAAATAATCTAACAATTGCGTATAATGTGGCTTTATCGATGAATAATTTGTAAAATATTCATACTAATTCGTGGGAGAATCAGGCGGTGGTTTGAAAATTTTAAAGCTAGCCGGATATGAAGACGTAAACCGCTCGGTAATTAAACATATAACGCGCCCCGGCTGTGTTTCATGGTAAAATGTGCCCGGGGTGGCGGATTTACGTGCAAATACCCAAGTCGTCGTATTCCTTCGTGTTGCATAATTCGGGCCGACACCCCCTTCAGACTAAAACCCTCCTTAATTGCTCCAGGCGGAGTCCGATCTCTTATGAAGCGTACGCTTCAACACCTCTGGCCAAACATTCGACTGACTGTCTCGGAAATCTTCTAATGAGTAAAATACAACGCGACCATGTTGACATATCATTCTTTTATGAATACATTGTTACGTCGTTTTAGTTACATAAACAGTTTTAGCGGAAATTCATATATTATTTTTTAAATAAAAATTGGCAGAATATCACATAAGCTCTGTGATATTATTTTAAAAAGTTTGAAATTTCTATTTATTTTATGCGCGTACATTTTTATAAATTGTTCTAATGCTAAGATATTGCTATGATACACTAGCGGATCCTGACATCGATAATGGGGGGGGGGGGAGATTCTGCAAAATTATTTGATTTAATATTTTTGGTTTCATGCTTAGCTTTTACTCCAGGATCAACGATGAGGACGTGATGAACTTTCTGATCCCGATGATGATTCAGCAAAATTCATTTCTTTTAATTTGCAAGGGGAGGAAAATTTAACCCTAAATCCCCCCTTCCCCAGGATCCGCCAGTGCTGTGATATATACTAATATTTATTTATTATATACTAATATTTATTTAATAAATTTTCTCTGACGCCTCTTTCCGATTGATTCAATTTTATCATATTGCTCTATATAATTATAATAGTTCAATGAAATCTTTTAATAGGAATATGATTAAGAACCCAGCACCTCGCTACACTTTCCTGTATCCCTCGTCACAAAGATTTACCGACAACACGAAGTTAACTACGTGCCCTGACGCGTACCCACCATTTCGAGGAGCAGAGCCCAAACATGAAAGAAATCTCGGCCGACTCTTCAGTTCACCCTCCGTCGAGGGTGAATTCGTCCACGTATCTCCACATTAATAATGCCTAAGAGGGCTGGTCGCCCCAATTGTGCGATTCCTAACATGTTTTTTTATTTTTTTTGCAACGTCGCTCCGCCACGCCCAGAAAAAGAGAGAGAGAGAACAGTCTCGCTAAAAAAGTGACGTGTTTAAAAATAATAAAATAATGGAGGCCTGTGCATTCGAGATGGAAAGAGATAGAAGAAGAGATAGATAGGTAGAGGGAAAAAGGGAGAAAGAGAGAGAAGACTCGCCTTGCGTTCGCGACGCAGACAATGCCCTGACAATGGCCCATACACGCCGTCCCATTGTGCCATCGTACTGTACCCCATAAAATACTCATCGCCTTTTATCGTTGTTTTCGTAGCCGGCCAATGAGAGAGACGCGCTGCTTAGCCGTGGCGGCCTAATAACCGAGCTTAGCATCCAACGGAAACACTGAATGGGAATAGTTTTTTAAGCCGCCCCACCTACCCGACACAGTCAGTCCCTTCAATCTCCCCTTCAACCCCCTCCCCCCCTTTCTTTCTCTCTCTCTCTCGCGTCAGTGAGATTAAATCTCCTGTCTGCGGTCTCGGGAGAAACTTCGGGACGTGTTGTTACAGTTGTGGGCCTTCCCCTTTTTTTTTGTATGCCGAGCTTAAGCAGCCCCCTCTCGGAGGTCTTGGGTTACGAGGTTACAACATATATCGCTGGTTATTCTTTTGGATTACGATCACGGATGCATTATTAACTAGATACCACGCTACAGGTCTCCGTCTGCGTGAATAAGGGAGGGCTGCTCGTTTACGGAATACATATATACGATATTCGTCCTTCTTCGTGAACAGCGTGTTTGTCTTAGAATGAGCCTGGCGAATCGATCTTTCATGAGGATCCGAAACATTTTTTCTCGGATCCTTCGAAAGATTGATCAACCGTGAAGAACAACGTAGAATTAACGTGGTATGATAATAAATGTTTATTTTATCTCAGACTCTAATTTATAACTCTCTAGTATTTAATATGAAGCAGTTGTTTTTAGATTTACAATGTTTATAATATGTCTGAACGATATCCAAAAATTCACATATTTTTGCATATTAAAAAGCTATGTCATATTCACATCGAATCCCTTCTGCAAATTCATTCAGCGATAATATGATGCAACGGCTCAATAAATATTTAATTTTTCTCGTTTTTCTCATCTCTTACAAATGTTACTTGATATGTACATTTGGCGAAAATTGACAATCTCGGCGGTCCTTGTCGATAATTTTACGTCAATAACTGTCAATTTTCACTAAATATCACTTGATCAGTTCACATTTGCTACTTTTGACTTTTAATAATATTTTGGGCCGTAATCGTCTACGGTCGGATTTTCTTTCTTCAATCCGTCATTTCTATTTCCGGGCTTTTATTTTAATCAGTGAGTAAAATGCGACTTTTTTCCACGGGAGATACGCGTATTAAAAACGAGGTCCGTCGTGCTCGACACACAGCCGTTATCGAAAAATATCAATAATCGTTGCGATACGCAACAAAAAACATGAGCCGCGAGTGGCGGCTTGCGAGAATAAGCGGGGGGAGGGGGAGGGAAGGGTAAAACGGGACGATGGGGGGGAAAGGGGAATAAATCGCGGGACGATTGGTGAAAATGCTATTCGAAATTCAACGTCGCTCGCCCGTCAGACACCGAATCCTCCCCCGCGTTGCCCCCCGCGCTAGATCATCCCTCTACCTGCCTCTCCTCATCCCCTCACCCAAATTCCAGTTCCGCCGCGAGCGGCCCTCGCGTCTCTCGTCGATGAATTTCGAGTTTGTTGCCAATCACTTTTTCGCGCAATTATTTCACAACATTTCGACATGACGTACAAGCCCGCGGGGGAGGGGTGGTTACCAACGGGGCAGGGGTAGGAGGATGTATATGTGAGGAGAAGACAGGGGAGAGGAGGAGGACAGTGGGAGGACGGCGGTACCGCGCTCATGGATACTGGAGGGTCTATTCGCGGTGAGAGGTCGGCGATGGGGGGCAGCAGGGAGGGAGGGAGGGAGGGAGAGAGGGAGAGGGGTGCGGTCTCCCGGTACGTACGGGGGACCAAGGGGGATGTAACACATGCACGTGGCACGGTCAATGCATCCGCTATCCGACAAACGCATGAAATTCCCCCGTCCCCCCTTCCCATCACCACCACCACCACGTATCTCGAACGCACCAAATTTCCCCATTGCCACCCCTGCTCGGGCCAGTTCCTTCCCTCCTCGCGATATCCCCTTTCCACCCGCTCTTCCCTCTCGCGTATCCTTCTGCCGGCAGATGCGTGCAATTCGCCGATGTTAAATGCAACATTCGCCTCTCTCCTCACTTTCGTGGGGTTTCGCACGCGCTCTCTTCCCTCTTCTCTTGCTCTGCTGACTCGCTCCCTCCCCCCGCGCAACGATTTGTGAACAGTTTATACATCTAGTACGTCTACGTGCGTTTATCGCGCGCGCACACGGTCTTTATCGACTCGTGTCAATCATGATAGCGAAGGGTTCGAGGGAACCACGGAGGAAAGAGTGACAATGAGGACAGGTCGGCCAAAGATTGGTCGGCACGCGTGTATGCGAGGGTTCGCCGGACCCTCACGAATTTCAGACGTCCTGTGAATGACGGGACGGGCATTGTAACTTTTGCGTGAAAAAACCGTAATCCGCGACATTCTTTCTCGCTGTCGAAGCAACAGAAAATAATCGATTCTTCCAATCTTTATTACAAATTTTAAAAACGCAATACTTTCCAAATATAAAATTAATAATTGTCATAAAATTATGGTTGCAATATGCATTTTACATAATAATCCCGATTTTAACGCTCTACGGAATCTATCGTTGTTATCAATCATTATTTATACATTACATTGTTATTAATGTGTCCTCTCTTTCTTTTCAGTTTTAATAAAAAAAAATTCTTTAATATAAATATTTTTTCTCATTTTACCTATCAAGTGTAATCGTGCCGTACTTTTGCAATCGCATCTCGCATTAATTCTCAACGAATTCGCGACAAATCATTCGAACCGAGTCACGAGAAAAATGCGCGACAAATGCCGCGGCAATACATCATTGAATCCTGCTGCTTGTCTAATATTATAGGCACCAATCGTAAGGGCTTAATATTGGGGTGAAGGTAAGTGGCGGGCCAGCTGACGCCCTGTGCGCTTCCCCCCTTCCCTCCCCCGCACGCACGCTGCGCGACTCGTCTTGAGGGTGTGCGGATGAGATTTAGGGACCAACGACAGAAGTCTGTTCGCGACACTGATTTGTGGTGAGCTTTGTTTCAACACTCTCTCCGAATTGTCGCCCAATCGCGAAACTCTTCCTGAACAACATCTTTTCGATGATGAAAGTGGACGAATGTGTAACTGTAATCGATGATCGTTGACATTGTATGTATATCGGTATATTTCTACTTCACGAATTTTTACCGTTTCAAAAATAACAGTAGATATATTAATAGCGAGATACTGATTCTTTTAACAATTATTTTCTCATTTGATTTTAATAGTTCTTTTTATATTATTTATATATAATTTTATATAAGAATCAAATTAATTGACACATTAATCATGAGATGATTTAACAATTGAAAATTTGTCAAATATCATTCGTCAATGTGTCAAATAATGTCAAGATAATTATTAATAAATTGCTGGAATTTCTTGTCTTACAATCAACTTTCCCTTATTTTCGAAATCTTCTAATTATATAAAAGAATATTTTATGTTTTTTGTTTTTATTATAATCTATCAAAATTTATAAGATTTAAATTTATAAGGTTTTTATCAACCATATATCAATTAATACATTAAGCGTAAAAAAATTCAATCAATACGATGCAATTATATTAAGATAAATTCGTGCTCATTTAATTCAATAAATTTTGGTAAAGTTACCCTCACAGAAATATAATTGTGACTTCTCTTTAAAAATCTTTTGAATCTTTTTCTCTTCTTTTTTAAATTATGAGATTTCTGTCAAACTTTTGCACTGATTAAATTTCTAATTTCACCCCAATCAATTCCTGTCCAATGTCTCAATTCCAACTGTCGTCAAGTATATCAATTTATCATCAATAAATTACCGGAATGCGGTCTCCTATCGTGATTGCCGCCGAGTATAGCGCTAACGCTGAACTTGAGCTGCGGCTTCTCCTTCTCCTGGATGGTCCTGCATGCCGGACCGGAACACTGCTCTTCGCCGCAGGAACAGGCGACGGTATTCGTGGTCCTCTCGCCTATTCTGTCGACGGCACGCTCGACCGCCGCCACTGCCGTCACCGTTGTCTCCCTCTCTCCCGATACGATCGTCATCTCGTCGGACATGTGCATGACATTTCTGCATCCAAGGTCGTACCGTCTGTCTATCTCGATCGCGGAGACCCGCTCACCCAGTATCATCTCATCCCTGTCGGCCGCTTGAAGACCGCCGTCCAGCTCGGCGCCCGGAATCGGGTCCTCGTCGACGTTCGAGTTGCACGATTCTACGCCCGAGTTGGATCGATTGTCGATCCTCTCGTTGCAAAGCCTCTCCATCGCGCACAGCCGGTCCACGACTGGACCATCCATCCTCTCGTTCTCCATGTCCACGTAGACGCTCTGAGTCCGATCTAGAACCTCCTTTTCACGCTGAAGAAGCTGCATCCTGTCGTGTTGCCGCTCACCGGCGGATCTACCGCCGCTGGATCTCTGCTGATCCCGGCCGCCGCAATCGATCATCATGCGATCGCGCCCGCCAATCGAGCCGGATCGTTGATCCAGGTGGTCCTGGACGAGATCGCTGGGAGAAGATCTGTCGCGAACGAGTCTGAGATTCGCCTCGCATTCTCTCTCGCGCTGTCGCGCCACCAGACTCGCCGCCCAGTTCAAGGTCAGACTGGTAAGGTCTGTCCCCGGCGATGCTTTGCTCTGGAGCAGGTTCTCCATCAAGAAGGGCGAGGTCATGGCACTTTGCTGCAGATTCTTCAGCATCGCCGCTGACGAGGGGAACATATCACGGCTGCTTGGCCCTTCGATTGTCACGATCGTGGTTTCACGGGATGATTCTTAATTGATGAAAATGGAAAGTGCCCTTTTCGTCCTAGTTTCGCGCCTGATTTGAATGTTTCTCGTAATTGTATCGACTCTCGAAGAATAATTATTTTATTTATTACGTTTTGATTAATCGATTTTGGTTTCATACGTTTCAGACATTATATTAGACTCATCATTAATTCGATTACTTAGCGATAACGTTGATTGTTTACATTGATTGATGACGTTCATTCAGTAAGAGCCACGCAGAATTCGATTATTTTGAAAAATCACATTTCTGCAAGTGTATCAAGATTGTATCAAGGACTGTGAGACAGATACTAAATAACTCGATCTTTCACAAATTATTTCAAATCACTAGTCACACTGTTCAAGCATTTTCTCTCAATTTTCTTGGATTCATCAGTCGAAAAATGAGCAGCTTCCGTTGGACAAACGCAAATTACTTCAACATCACTGGGAATTGTCTACGTCTGACGTTGCGACTATTCGACTATTAGTAAACGTGTGGCCCGTATTTCTCGGCGACGTGCAACGCTTTAGAAAAGAAGCTGAGACCCCCTCTCTTTCCCGCGAGATTTACGTCGCGGGAAATCTCTCCGTGCGCGAGATCGCGCGCGTATCACATGGTCGCGTGTTCCAACGTACGCAATTTCACCTCGCCCCGTCCGACGACGAGGACGTGCGATTTCGGCAGCAGAATGTCAACTGGCATGCCTGCGTGCGTGCCTTCCGAACGCACGGAAAGGGGGGTTAGTGGCGGCAGCGGCAACGTGAGAGCATGCAACCCTCGAATGAAGGCTCACAAAGGCATATAGGTGGCTCACTCCGCCTTCCCCTCTGCGCTCCCCCCGCCCGCCCTACCCCGGCCGGCGTCGCCGGCGTTCTCGAAACGCCACCCCGTATGTACGTGCAGGCAGTGGCCTTACCCGAAGAAGGGTACGTACGCGCGGGGTGGCTGCTCCGCTGCAACGTGTCTTTCCCCTCTTCGCCACCCACCGATCCGCCCCTCTCGGTCTCCCTGCCGCCCCTGCCTTCCCTCTTAGGTGAGATAATACGGACTATAAGCCGAGCAATTCGGGGTTTGGCTCGCTCGGTAATGCCGTAATAAAATCATACTCCCATCAAACGGCGCTGTGCGCACCCCCTTGGGAGGCGAAGGAAAGGAGAGAGACCGGGGCGGGGGCGGAGGGAGGGAGAGGAACGAAAGGCGCGCACACACGAAAACCACCGCGACGGAGGACAAGGGGGTGGGAAGGGGGGAGGGAGGTGGCTCGCCGCCTCGCCGTACCGAGGGTAGGAAAAAAGCCTGGAGATTCGCATTCCTTTGGTCTCAACGATTGGATTTTATTTGACGATGCCGCCCCGCGGACCGTCCAATCGCCTGCCTCGACGGCAGACGCCGACCACGCCCATTTACCCCCCTCGTCAATGCACCCTCCAGGCACCCCCAGATGCTCTCTCGCTCGCACTCCGTTTCTCGCGTATCGCCCGGCTCGCCTCCATTCACCCTCCCTCACCCCGACGCTATCCCGTTTGCTCTCTTTCGGTAGGTAGGGGTTGCAGAGCAGACCCTCTACACTCTTATCAACTTTATTATCTCGCACTACCACCGGCGAATGCGCGCTCGCAGGTTATCGTATTCGTGTTGGATAGACTCGTGCGAAGGGGTACGATGTAATTTTCTTGTAGGTATAGGTAATTATATTATCGCGCTGGTGAAAGAGAGAGAGAGAGAGAGAGAGAGCTTGCAGCTAGCCTATGCTCCCCGAAAACCCACTGGTATAGTAATAACGATAACAATAATGATGATAATAATAATAACCGGCGGCGGGAACGAGAGAGGCTTGGCGATCGTCCATGATCACACCGGCTTCTCCAAATCACGTGATAATAACGTGATAATTACGCGATATCGATATTATGAAGTCATTTGTGGGTTTATTATAATTGTTAGCGCGCGACGATCAAAGTAATAATTGTATTTTCTACAGTTATAGCGATAATGATTTTTTCATACTATGCTAGAATTATAAAAATGTTTTTTTATTACTATTTAGTAATATACATATATAACACATGATGGCCCAATTATTAAAAAGGTGAAAAGCCTAAAAAATCTTTTTTTATATTATTTACAATTTTTTCATCTCTTTAGTCCAGCTTTAATTCAATGTTTTTAAATATTTTTTTCATTTATTATAAAATTATATCTATATATCGATATATATAGATTATTTTATCGATGTATTTAAAAAATTTTTTAATATATATAAAACATTTAATATTTAATATTAACAATATTAAATATATAATATTAAAAATCAAACCCAATTTCAGTCACAGTTTCTCTCTTTCTCTTTTTCTTTGTAAGACTTTAATTTGTAGTTTCTAAAAATTTATGAAGTCTTAAGTTGGCATCATATGATTGACGAGGAAATCTTTAAAATTCAATCTCGCTCGCTACCTAGAAATAATGCTTTATTCGCTGCAAATTTAAAAAGAGTTTATTATCGCAGCAAAATTACAGTTGCTTTTGGCGTATGGCAAAAGCATATGCGAAAGCCAGTGTCGTACACAGCGTCACACGACGAGACACTACGTTACGCCGTCATCTCGCGCGCATAATTTCGCCACCCCCGAGTCAACGAAAGTGACGACGAAACGTACTACCGGACCGTATCCGCGTGCGCATTATCGTGGAAGGCGCGGCAGAGCACGTTGAGCCGGAAGTGTCCGTAGGGTTAATTAAATTAATGTGCGCGACGCTGCTGCGCACGCCGTGCGTGCATGTGCGCGTACACGCATAAACACGGGCGTCCGTACACGGACGGCGCGCGTTTCTGACAGCGGCGTGATAAGTCTCCTCTCTCGATGCTCGCCCCAAGAATTTCACATAAAAGCGGCGTACACGCGGCCATACATACATACGTCCCTTTTAAACGCGCGAGGATAAAGACCGGGACGAGATAGGAGGAAGAGAGGCGCGTAGACAAGAGGGAGAAGGAAAGAGAAAGAGAGAGGAAGAATGGACAAGGAGGACGAGACGCGACGACGTGCCCCGCGCTTAAGTAGAGTCGCCGTCTATTACCAGCGGGGGTTGAAAAGAGGGAAAAGACGGAAGAAGCGTGGAGGAGCGCGAGGCTCTCCCCCTTTCTCTAAAGGGACCGATGAGGTTGAGACGCGCACACAGAGAGTGCCGCGGCTTTTTCTTACACGATTTTCCACCCTCGGTATATAACGGCGTATGTCCACCACTGCACTGCCGCCGGCCACGTGGTGGTGGAGGGTTGGAGGCAGCCAACGCGAAGCGTGCACCACGCGCCATCCTACCCCCAGCCCCACGGAATCCGAGCCTTCCCACCCCCGGTCGGGGACTAGCCGGCGGGGGTGGAATGCCGCGACCACGCCTACGTTTCGGAATCACCTCTACCTCGTCGACGTCACGACTTATCACCCTCTCAGCGGCGTCGGTGGTGGTGGGTTGCGGAGAAACGGTCGTGGAAGTGGCGGCCGAAGGAGAGGAAGGAGAGGCGAAGGCGGCCGCGATGAAGAAGGGAAAAAAAATAACGAAATGAACATCGGGAGGGAATCGCGGAATTATTATACGAGCACCGACGACGGAGACGAGGGGATGGTGGCTCGGGGGCGCCGACTCGGTTAGCTTATATAAATTGGGGGCGGTTCGGTATAGGTATTTCTCTCCTTCGGCGAAAAAAAGGGAGTAACGTCGAGAAACGATTCGTTTCGTACACGGGGCGCGGGATAATTATTCATTCGTCCGACGTGATGGACCTATGAGCGGCCGCAGCGATGGCGTTTCGTTTTAAAAGTCTCGGCGATGAATAATCACGGTTCGATGCTTCATTCTATAAGTCACATCTTTGTCTATCTTAATCGAGTATACTTCATTTTTCACAAATTTTCTAGAAAAAAATTAATGCCAAACCAATAATAATAAAATCTCGAATAAACTTAGTAATAATTATAAACAAAATTATATCATTTCTATCATAAATTTATTTTATTCTATAAATCTGTAAAAGACTTAAAGAAATAATTTCTGTACTCGTGCACTGTATTAAACCGATGTAAAAAACAATCAACGTAAGCCGGCTCAATTACCTAATATAAATTGGAAGCGGTTTGAATGGCGGTACTCCTGTTACCTCGCCAAGGGGGAGAAGCGAGAAATGATTTATTTTGCGTGGGGTAAAATAATTATGATCTCTCTTCGGATGAAGTGACCTGAATGATAAAGAAAGTCCGCGTTTCTTCAGACAGCCTTCCATCTTTAATTTGCAAACAAAATCATTTTGTTATATTTTATTAAGTCAAATATAAAATTAAAAATTAATATATTTTATAAGAACAACTTTGCGCGTGATCAATGCATTTTATATTATTGCTGTAGTTATTTTTCACGAATAATTCTAATATGTTTCGTAATAATAAGTACATCTCCGTGCATAATTTCTTACAAGCCCATGCGAACGAAATAATCTCAACGATAAGTGTAAACGAGACAGGAAACTACGATCCTCTCGTCCTCCCTCGTCCGTACTTTCGTCGCGATATTACCCTTATTTGCATCCTTGAACTTTCCTAGCGCCATACCTAAACTTCTTTGTCGTACTTCCCGAGCTAATGCTAATAAGGATACCGTCTGTTTGAAATTGATATTTAAGCGGTAAGTTGTACGAACAACGAGAACATTAATTGGGACTGATCTTTCCTCGAGAGCTAATTAACTAATACTGATTATTCTCTCTGACACTATCATCGTAATATCAGAGTTATATCAGAGTTATATTGATATATCGCGTTGTTGCGCAATCTTTGCGTAATAAAAAAGAAACACATCTAACGTTATAACTGTATAAAGAATAAGACTTCCTTTTTAAAAATAAAACATTTTCAATTTTTTTTGAAAAATATATAAAAAGCTATTTAAAATA